TTAGCTGACTCTAAAATTAGTTTTCCTTTTTTTTTTTTTTTTGAGACAGTCTCAATATGTCACCATGGGTAGAGTTCTGGGTGTCATAGCTCACAGCAACTTCAAACTCTTGGGCTTAAGCAGTTTTCTTGCCTCAGCCTCTAAGTAGCTGGGACTACAGCCTCCCGCCACAACGCCTGGCTATTCTCTTTTTGCAGTTGTCATTGTTGTTTTAGCTGGCCTGGGCTGGGCTCAAACCCACCAGCCTCAGTGTATGTGGCCGGCACCCTACCCACTGAGTTGTGGGCGCCACCCTTCATTTTGTTTCTGAGACAGAGTCTCACTTTGTCTCCTTTGGTAGAGTGCCATGGCTTTATAGTTCACAGCAACCTTAAACTCTTGGGCTCAAGTGATTCTGTTGCCTCAGCCTCCCAAGTAGCTGGGGACTACAGGTGCTTGCCACAATGTCTGTCTATTTTTAGAGATGGGGGTCTTACTCTTGCTGAGGCTGGTCTTGAACTCATGAGGTCAGGCAGTCCACCCACTTCAGCCTCCCAGAGTGCTAGGATTATAGGTGTGAGCCATTACGCCTGGCAGTTTTTGCTTGTTTTCTTAACTTGTTCTTTGGCAGCTTATACATAGTCAAGTTGTATTACTGAAAGAAACAAAACTGCTCTGATTAATTGTAGATATTTTTTTCAGTACCAATTATAATTCTAAAACAATTGCTATCAATATTCAGTAATTTAAATAAATAAAAACATATAGTCTCATATCTCTTATCTGAAATGCTTGCAACCAGAAGTGTTTGGAATTTCAGATTTTGGAATATTTGCAGGTAACATACCAGTTGAGTATCGCTAATCTGTAAATGGGAAGTCTGAAATGCTCAGTGCTATGTTGGTACTAAAAAATTTTGGATTTTGGAGTACTTCAGGTTTTTGATTTTCAGATTGGAGTGCTCAACCTGTTATAGGAATGTGATGGGAGAAAACCCACATCATTGCATAAAGTCACCTAGTAAGGATTTTCCACCAAAAATAATAAATGCTCGTTATAGGGACTTATAGAAAAATAATAAAGACCAAAAAAGCACTTAATGAGAGAAGTCAGTAATGCCCAAATATGGCCACGACCAGTTAGCAAGTTTCATGTATTATGCACTAATTTTTAATCATAGTTGTGATTCTCTTGTACATTCAATTTTGGCTACCAAACTGAGGAAATAGTAAATGTAGAAAAACTATAAACTTGAGAAAAATTACAAACATCAGAATAGTAAAAGTACTTTATGAAAGAAATTAGCCACAGTACACAAAAATAACTACTATCAATTAGAAGATTTTATATTTTAACTACAAATTAATTTTCTTTAGTAGACTTAGATACTTTCTTCAGTGAGTTTGTATCTTTCAAGGACTTTGTCCATTTCCTCTAAGTTGTGAAATTTATTGGAATAAAGTTGTTCTTAATATTTCTTTCTTATACTTTTAATACCTGTAAAAGCTATAGTGACACCCCCTGTCTCATTTCTACAGTGGCGTCCCTCGTCTCATTTCTATAGTGACGTCCTGTCTCATTTCTATAGTGACATCCCCGTCTCATTTCTGTACTGACGTCCTGTCTCATTTCTATAGTGACACCCGCTGTCTCATTTCTATAGTGACGTCCCCCGTCTCATTTCTATAGTGACATCCCCTGTCTCATTTCTATAGTGACATCCCCCGTCTCATTTCTATAGTGACATCCCCGTCTCATTTCTATAGTGACATCCCCGTCTCATTTCTGTACTGACGTCCTGTCTCATTTCTATAGTGACACCCCCTGTCTCATTTCTATAGTGACGTCCCGTCTCATTTCTATAGTGACATCCCCGTCTCATTTCTATAGTGACATCCCCCGTCTCATTTCTACAGTGACATCCCCCGTCTCATTTCTACAGTGACATCCCCCGTCTCATTTCTACAGTGACATCCCCCGTCTCATTTCTATAGTGACATCCCCCGTCTCATTTCTAT